ATTTCTAGAAATGTAACACAACTCGTTCTTGAGATATAAGAGTTAGTACACTTTTCTACCGCCCATAGTTGCGCGTATATTAGCCTATGTGCGATACCACGCGTGTATATTTGTTAATTAATTAAACTAATCGCGCTTCGTTAAACTCAAGACTCACAGAGATCATAGGAATCTGCAGGTACATGAAAACTCATACAGGAGAATACCCATATAAATGCTATGTATGTAAAGCAGCTTTCATGATATCAAGCTATTTGAAATTGCATCTCCTATCCCGCACAGGTGAAAACCCGTATAGATGTGATTTATGCAATGCAGTATTCATGAAATCAAGCAATCTGAAGTTACAATAAACAACATATGAACGAGCGTACAACTCGTTAAGTAATGTGGATTCTGTTTTGCGTTGCACGTCATCACAACGTGACACACGTAACTGAGAATTCGCATGGGCATTAAACCAGGTGAAAATAATCTGTCTAGTGCAGCGTTTAAATGTAAAAATTCAGTAAATCAGATGGTGTTATCAAGGAGGTAATATATTATTGAAAACGTTTATGTGTAATTTTACATTTGATTTTATGTAACACACACACACACTGTGTGTGTGTGTGTGTGTGTGTGTGTGTGTGTGTGTGTGTGTGTGTGTGTGTGTGTGTGTGTGTGTGTGTGTGTGTGTGTGTGTGTGTGTGTGTGTGTCGTCGCGTCGTCGTGTGTGTGTGTGTGTGTGTGTGTGTGTGTGTGTGTGTGTGTGTGTGTGTTCACACACACACACACACACACACACACACACACACACACACACACACACACACACACACACACAACACACAACACACACACACACACACACACACACACACACACACACACACACACACACACATTGTTTTTCTTACAGATAATTTAAACCATTGTTCTGTTCAGCTTTTACACGATGGACGGTCCCGCTATCCGACTGTATGTGTGTGAGGCAACATATATATACAGTACTATAGACACTTTAGTTGGCAACTAGTAAACCAGAGTCGCTCTTTCTCTCGCTCATACACACACACAGACACGCTAAAAAAGATCTACAAAAACGGAAACATGTTCATCACATAGGTTTACGTTACAAACGCAACGCTTTGCGTTTCATTTCAACGTCTCGACTTCCAAGAGAAAAACACAAGTTGGAGTTTGTCTGTCGGTGTCGGATGACTGGTGACGTCACCGTGACGTCATAGTGACCCCGACTAGCACCTCGTTATCTTCTCATGTCACCTTCCGCGAAACTAATTAGTACTACTACTACTACTACTACTACTACTAATAATAATAATAATAATAAGAGGAGAAAATCGCGCTACTGTGAACAGCACACATCCTGCGAAAAATTCTGGATTGAATTCCTATGTCTCAAGTTGGTACACGGCCAACCCAGAAGCCACCGTCTAATGCCGTGATCCATTTTGGAAATAATAATAATAATAACTATAACAATAATAAAAATAATATTATTCACTGATCGAACTGCGTGGAGTCCTGCATAGATCGGTTACCAATCATATCGTATCAATAATCTATCTCTCTCTCTCTCTCTCTCTCTCTCTCTCTCGCTCTCTATTCAGGGAGTGTCAGATGCGCCCGCTAAGCGGCGTGCACGGCTGGATCGTACCGACACTGCGCCTGCTGACTACGGAGACGGGCGTCGCCGTGGCAACGTTGACATGAAGTTCAGCAGACGGGCGGCGCGTGGCGGCGGCGGAGGCGGCAGCGACTTCCAGGAAGTGTCCGAGGACGACCCAGGTAACCGGAAGACCGCATCTTAAAGCTATCATTAGTGCACCATTACCCCACTAATAACTCACCAATAACTAAGCATTACCCCACCACTAACTAAACCGTTGACTCGCCATTAACTAACCAATCAACTAACAACTTAATAACTAACTTAATAATTAACTGAACAATCTCGCTCGCTGGTTGTAGTTAGCTGTGGCAGTTTTTACGTAGGGTGAACGCGTGTGTGACTTCAAGAAACCAATCCGATTAAGATGACGTAGCCACGTGGCGAATATGCGTAACTCCTGCATGTTTGGTAAAATTGGACATGGGATGATGACGTCATACACTACGCACGCGCGCGCTCACGCACACACACACACACACGCGCGCGCACACACACACACACACACGCACATGCATACGCACACGCACACGCACACGTACACGCACACGCACATGCACACACACACACACACACACACACACACACACACACACACACCACGTGGCGTAGTACCCTCATAGACATTGGTCTAATATTATCTGTAAGAAAAACAATGTGCGTGTGCGTGTGTGTGGTGTGCGATGATGTTGTGTGTGTGTAGTGTGGGTGTGTGTGTGTGCGTGCTGTCGTGTGGCGTGAGTGTGTGTGCGCGTTGTCGTACATGCGTGCGTGCCTGTGCGTGTATGTATGATAACCTGCTTTGCAGCTGTAAGAGTGACTGTTCTTAACGCTTTCGGCACTGCAGGTCGTTGTTCTGTCTCTCATCAGCGAGCTGGCGCCTCGTCTTTCATTCTCTCCAGACAGCTGTGCCTCCAGTAGCTTCAACTACCGCAGCAATGTATACGAATACACATACATAACATATACATGTAATCCACGTAGAGTATATATACATACACATAGTTATATATACAGTATATATATATATTTATTTATAAATGGCCTCAGATATATTTCATGTATGATGATTTGGTCAAACGGTATGGTGACACGCCGTTGTTGTTTGTCTATAATGCACGCGCAACTTCGTGTAAAAAATGCGCGCAAAAAGTTATATTGCAGCTGCTCGCGATTATGCTTAACATTTACAATAAGTTAGCCATCAAACTACAATTTTCGAGATGTAGATTTATATGATTTTTCTTAGACTATTTTATCTAGACTGGTTTATCTAGACTTAGTGTTAAATTGTTATAGTGTTGTCGCAATTTAATCAACTGTTTAAATGTGTTTGTTTTTGACTTTCGGGATTGCGAATTAAATTTTCGAGATCTAGGTCTTCACTATTTGATTTTTTATTACATATTTATCTAGACTGGTTTTATCTAGACATACTCGTTATTGTGTGGGTGAAGCAATGTACTAAAACTGTAAATGCTGTTTGTTTGACATTCGCATTGGAATAAATTTTTCGCTGATCTGACTTACTCTTTGATTTTGCAGATTAATTTGTGTGTGTCGCAATTTTATAAAACAGATACGCGCACTTTGGCCTGTTGTGCGAATCAATGTAAATGGCCAGCGCCGGCCACTCGGTATCTTTTAGGATTGGCGTGCGCACGGCGCTAGCCGCTCCCGATGGGGATGGCGGATGGCGGGATGGGATTGGGGATGGGATGGGTTGCTGTTAGCGGTTAGGTTTAGGGTTAGGATTTTTTGCATTGCATTCCTTGATATACGGGAAAATCTGCATGGCGAAAGTTGATTATGCGTATATCAAGCCCAATTGGATATAACGTGTAGGAAAAAAATTCGCCGCTTGGTCCGCGCGCTCCAACACCCGCGCTACCAGCCCACAGTGCGTTATCTGTTATATATATAGTATATATAATAATTTGCACACAACACAGTCGACCACGTTACGAGGTACCGAGCGCAAGATGCGATCACGTGATGGCTCGTCATCAGTGGACGTGTGAAGTCATTTTCCGGATCGCGTTTAATCTAATTAATCGAGGAATAGCTCACCCGCTGCATGGTTTTTCCTAATAGCTATCTAGCCTTCGTTTATCTTTCTCATCAGCTCACTGTGATAGTCTTCCCTCATCTTTTCCAGTTCTTTTCCGCTTCTGGCTTCAGCGTATAATATGAGATAGAGCCATTGGTAACGCGCCGTACTATTAGGTCTGTGACTGACGTATGCCGTCCGCGCGTCGTGTGCGTGCAACGCGTGCGTGCGGGTGTGTGTGGTTGCGTGGTCCATGCACGTGCGGGTTACCTTTCTGTGAGCTTTGTGATCTGAGCGTCCCGTTGCGTTTTGCCGTGCGTTTTTCGTGTTGCGTGCGTGCTATGCCCGTGCGTTGACCTGCAAGCAAATTGGGTGATCTGCAGCGTACGTGCGACTGCTGATGTGCGGATTTGGTGGCGTTGCGTGCAGTTTTGCGTCCGTCATGCTGTTTCGCGGCCGCTGTGCGGTGTATTGTGCCGTTGCGTTGCCTGTGCGTCGCGCTTACTGAGGCAGATTGGCGTTAGATCTGAGCGTACGTGCGTGCCCTGTATGGTGCGTGCTGTGCGTGCCGCGCTGCGTTGCGTGGGGTCCGGTGCGTGCGTGGTCCGTGCGTGCGTGTGTATGCTGCGTTGCATGCGTCCGTCCGCTTTCTTTTTGCGTGCGTAGCGGAGCGTGCGTGGCGTGCGTGCGTGCATTATCCTTCAGCGTTGCGGTGGGCTACCTGCAGCAATTGTCGGGTCGACCTGAGCGTCACCGTGCGTGCGTTGTATGTGCGTTCGATTGCGTGCGTTCATGGCGCGGACGTTACCTGCTGTAACTGGTGATTCTTAGGTTGTGTGTGTGTCATTGTGTGTGTCCATGCGTGCGTGCGTTGCAGTGCGTGCATGCGTCAATGCGTGCGGGCGTGCGTCTATGCGTGCGTGTATGTGGCGCTTGTCCTGCGCTGCGCTGCGTGCGTGCGTGCTGTGCTGTGCGTGCGTGCGTTCCGTTACCTGCTGCAGCTGGGTGACTCCTGAGCCGTCCCTGTCGTGCTTGTATGCTGTAAGCGTTTGCGTGCGTTACTTTCTGTTAGATGCGGTGATCGCTGAGCTGTGCGTCGCGTGCGTGCGGTGTCGTGCCGGTGCGTTGCGTCGCCGTGGCTTGCGTGCGGGTGCGTGCTGTTTACCTGCTGCCAGTGGGTTGATCTGATGGGTGGGTCGGTCCTCAAGCATCCTCTTGAACTTCCATGAGTTGCGCCTCTAACATGCATCTTTCCCTGTTCGTGCTTTGGAAAAGCTGCCAACACGTAACTCATACACAATATTATTAGACATCCACAAATACACCCTCACACATGTCATATATATAATATATTATATATCCATTCCGATGTACTCTTGAGTATATATTATTGAATACTATATTGTATATATATATTTTTAATGAAGGCCGTAGTAATTATTGTGACGAGGCGCTACGAGAAAATTTAACAGATTAACCAATCAACTATTAATTAGAACGCTAGTAATGCAGTTTTTACGTTTAGAAGGTCGTAATATTTTAAAAGCATCGTAGATGGCGATCCGTGGCAGCGACAACATGCGCTTACCTCCCATCTCCTCTGCCTTGCGCCACTCTCCGAGTATTCCATGTCTCCAGCTTGTGCCTGTGGCGGCGTTACCTTGTCCTGTAACATGTCCTTCTCGGACCGCCTATAATTCCCTCCCCCATGCCAGATGTACCGATGCAGGTTAACGATGTATGTAATATAGTAGAGGTAACCTTTGAGCGACCACCCCCGGTTGAATTGTTGGACTATTTTTTTATAGAGAGCAAATTATGAGAATTTTGATAAGTGCAGAATTTAAACAAGTGAGCCGGCAAACGGAAATGATTTGTGCCCACGAAAGTGAGCATATTAATTAGCCAATTTTCGGCGTAGGTTACGCGGTTGCTTCCATCTCGCTTTCTCGCACCCCTCATAACATGTTTCGCCCACCGGCGGTGGTCGTATTACTGCGGCCCCGACAACAGCTCTCTATCTTACTTCCACTCCATGTGTTAGCTTCCTCTCTAGCACTCGCGTCGCGGCGCCGCCGTTTCTCTCTCTTGCCCTTTCTCACACACACACCGACATAGTTATTGTATAGTGATATATATAGTATATCTCTTGTTCTCTTTCATTCTCTTACCTTTCCGGCGCCTCGCTCGCTCTGACTGTCTCTCTCTCCCTCTCTCTTGCTCTCTTTCATTCTCCCTACCTCGCGCTCGCTCGCTCTCTCTCTCTCCTCTCCTCGCTCTGACTGTCTCTCGTCTCGTCGGCCGGCCTCTTCTCTCTCTCTCTCTCTCTTCTCTTGCTCTTGCTCTCGCGCTCTTGCTCACTTCTCCGTCTCTGGCTCACTCGTTCATTCTTCCTATATCACATCCTGCTTCTGCCTATGCCACGCTATCACTTTCTCTCTCTCTCTCTCTCTCTATCTCTCTCTCTCTCTCGTCTCTCTACTCTCTCTCGTCTCTCTCTCTCTATCTCTCTCTCTCTATCTATCTCTTTCTCTCTCTCTAATCATCGCGTGTTCTCGCCGCTCTGTTCCTCGGCCCTTCGCTCTCGTACCCAGTTCCTCCTCTCTCGCTCTATCTCTCTCGACCTCTCTCCTTTAACTCACCACTCACTCCCTCATTTACGTTACTTCTAGTCTCTCTCTCTCGCCTCATGCTTACATAGAGATTTCTTTCGATCTATACCTCTATTTCGTTTTAGAAGCGGATGGATCGTCTCGGCGCTCCCCACGGCCTCCTGCTCGCGCGAGTAACGTGTCTCCCCTACTCCAACGTGCTCCCGTGGTTTCGACGTCCCCTCATAAGCCTTTTAAGTGGATCTGCCCTGTTCGGTATGCGTGTAAAAGGTCAATCCATTCCACTCCCGCTCCATGAATGAAGATTAAGTTGATGAATTTATGCTTATGAGCAGATCGGGCCTGGACTGGTTGTATGTGCATTTCTCATACGCACCGTCGGAGCCGTAGAGCGACTAAGGGAAGCCAGTTAGTTAGCTACGTCAGAGACCGCATCGCTAGATTGTTATCGTTCAGTTGCCGCTTCAACGATCGTAGCCC